GAAACTGATCAGTTTCAGCAGCGGCTGAATCTGGATGCCAGTTCTGACTTACATACAGATTCAACTTAAGAACAAACCTACAGTCCCTATCTTGTACGTAACCCGGGGACTGCCTGTATACTTTTTTATCATAGGTATACTGTATTTAATCTAACAAAATACACTTCTCATTTGTTTTAGCTTTAATAATGAAGATGTGTACTGTATATATAAAAATAGAAATACCTATAATTGCAGAGGAAAGACTGTAGAGAAGAGCAAGTATTGTTTATTAAACATTCCTAGCGAAAATGGAGTTTGCTGTTTTCAGCAGTCATTGCTTTCTATAAGTTTTGAAATTGAGTCAAGAGGGGAAAAGTAAATGTATTGGATTTCTTTGTTTTTCATGACTTTGTCATGATTATGTTACATTGATCTATTAATAAAACATGCTAGCAATGAAGCTTTTGCTTCCAATGTATTGCATTTACTAATTGTTTCTCTAATGAATTTCAGTTCCCTGCATCTTGTGATTGTTAATTTCCAGCAGGTATTTCCTATGGACAAACTAACAGCGATATTGAAGCATTACATGAGGCCTATTGTCATATTGATCGGTCTCTAGGAGACACAGATGAGCAAAGAATTAATTTCAGTGTAATGGAAAATGCAGAGTGCCCAGTCCAAGATGCTTCCCTAAACAATGAAGACTATGCAAAAAACATCTCAACTACTGAATCAGGTAGATACTGCACATGGAAGCAGAGTTGTGAAATCCCAGCTATTGGTTCTGCTCAGTTGACAATACTATATTATGGAAATAATACATTCAGACTATGGACAGAGCTAGTCTGAGTGCAGCTGTTTACCATTTCTTCTAGGTTAAAAGCGCTGTGGTTTCAAGTAATGTGGACTGTATTGCTCATGCTCCACTAATTTTGAGTAGGTTAGCTTTGTATGATTTCTTCCTTGTTCAGATTATGTTAAATCTTTTTGTTTTGGATTATGTTCAGGTAGCACATGAGAAGTATGTTCAAAGTACTTAAAGGAGTGATTTCAAACAGAGCTAAAACTTAAATCAGACAGTTCTTATTTATGTATTTTCTATTGGTTCCAATACTGCATAAAACAATCACATTTTAAAAATTAAAAAAACAAAACTGTAATATATCACATTCAATAATAAAGTATACAAGCCTTATGCTGCCCCCGTGACACTGTAGCGGGTAGCTCCCAGGGGCGGTGCAAGCAGGGATTGAACAGTCCCAGTTCATACCGCCCCTAGGACCTTGAGGCTCTGCCTCCTGTGCTCTCCCCCCTCACCGATATAGTTAGTGAGTAGTCACTTACATCCTTACTTTGTAGTGCGTTAACCATTTAAGATCCTTATTCAGTCCTAAGTTGATTATATTGAATTTGCAAATGAATTCCAGTTCAGCTGTCTCCCTTTGTAGTCCGGTTTTGAAATTGTTTTGTAGAAGGAAGGCTTCTTTCAGGTCTATTACTGCATATCCAGGGAAGTTAAAGTGTTTCACTTCAGCTTATGTGTGTTACCTTTTCTGATATCTGATTTGTGTCCATTTAATCCTCATTTTCTGAGATGACTTAGTACGTCTTTTTTTATATCTGTTTTGTCAGTAATTTTTTTTCACTGCCTTGGATGCACTGGAGATTTTAGAGTATTACATATTACTGTTTGTCAACATTTAGCTCAGCATCTCTTTTTTGTTTTTAATGGAGTTCAAGTTAACAACTTTCATTTATCACTTGTTTTGTATTATCCCTTATTATTATGTTCAATACAGCACTAAAAACAGCAATTTAAGCACAGAATACCAATACATATTTTATGCAATTATCAAGCAAAATTATACCCATTTGGAATACCTGTGCCTAACTTAAAATATCTGAATAAACCCTGAAAGATTGTATGTAGTTTCTGGAAAATGAGGATGCTTGTGAAAACGACACCAAAAAATCCCACTTACAATTAATAATTCAGACACTTTTGTGTTCTAAGTTATTTTTATAGTTGAGACAAGGGTTTTTTTCTAAAATAAAATAATTCACTTATAAACGTTAGATATCTTGGAAGCTATCAGGTGCGAAGTTAAATTAGTAAGTGGCATGTTTAAAAAATGTGTGATATTCGTGCCAAATATGCAGTTATAGCATTTGATATAAATGTTTTTCTAAATCTGTTACCCACTCAGAATTGTAATAATTTTTAAAACAACTGTTTTATTCCTGTATATTAAATATTATGCTTAAAAATAATTTATTCCACTCATTAGATTTGCCCACTGTAGAAGAATTGATGAAACACATTAAACCAGATTCATCTCATGCCAGAGGTTTTGACTTGGAACCTGTAAGGTATTGGTTTTAGAAAATGCATACATGAACATGTTAATGCCCATGAATTATTTGTGAAAAACATCTTTCTGAACAACAAGGGTTATTTTTGAGCTGGAAATCTAGATTTCATCGTGCTAGTAATTAAGAGCTATTACATGTTGTTTCTGCTGATCTATAAAGTGATTATGTATTTTGAGTTGGTCCAGCAACTTTTGAAAATAAGATTTATTTCCAGGAGACATGCTCAATTAGTAAATACAGTTCAGAAATATTGCAATTAGCTCTTTCAAAAATAAGCAGTCTGTTGACTTGGCAATGGAAATAGCATTGCATGGGTGTAATTTTTTGAAAAATAATTGTAAACAATATGCAAGTCTTGTTAAATGCACTTTTATTTTTCTTTATTAGCCCAGTGAAACTAACAGACAGCAGAGCAGCTGAATTTGCCATCCATTTGCCATTTAAAGAACCCAAAAATGATACAGTGCTGGAGAAGCAAAGTTTAGATATTTTGAAAAATATATTTGAAAAATATAGTAAAGAAGAGAATGTTTTTCTCCAAACACCTGCAAAAGAAGGTAGTGAAGATAGTTATCAAAAAAGGACTGATAAAGAAGACCATATTGATAAAGAGCATCTTTACCTTTTGAGACAAAAAATAGTAAAAGATTCTGCTCTGTTGCATCAGGACAGCAAAATTAATCAAGTAAGCAATATTTAGCTATTTTTTATCTGCTTAAAATAATTTTAAATAACATATTGAAGATTATTTTACATTCCTATTTGCTAGAAACCTGCTAATAAGCAGTTTTCCATTCTGGTTGTACTATCTTCTTTTTACCATTTTTGTAGAATTACATATTAGTCATTTGTTTGGATTAGGAATATTCATTTTCAGTACTATCAGGAACTGTATTCTTGTTTAAGTAGGTATAACTCTTGTTACTGGCACAATATTCTATAACTAGAACTGTATTTAAATAAACAGGGATAAAACTGAAGTTACTTCAGATTTTACTAGTCTCTTGTGATTGTCACAAACTACACTTATTCTATACAGGCACACCAGTCCAACTCCTGGAAGAACAAAAGTGTGGATTCAGTGAATAATAAGCAAATTACGCAAAAAAACACTAGAAGTACAGCTCTTTTACATAAGAAGAAATCTCTGATTGGAACTCATATAGTGGTTAGAAATTCTGGATATGATAAACCTACTTCACCCTTAAAACAACTTTCCACGCCTAGTGAAAAGAGAACATCAAAAGAAGTTCTTAAAAAGCCAAGTTTGAAAGCCAGATCATCTCCAAATAAAGCAAGACAAAAAGGTAAAACTGTTGATGAAGAGTTCAGAGTTTATTTTTGTTTAATCCAGGGAGATTTTAGTTTTGATATGGTACATAAAAATGGTGTTAGATTTTATGTGATGTACTTTTTCCGCATCTTAAAGATGAGTCTAATAGTAGTGTGAATTTTCCCTGAAAGAATAAATCAGTGTGAGATTTCCAGGATTACTGCATGTTCCTGAAGGGTGGCTTAGATATCATATTTTCATATTGCAGTCAGATTGTAGGATATTTACAGCAGTGAACAGATTGACTCATTTTGTTATCACTGACTTATGGATTTAGTCAGTCTGAAAATAAAGTAATAAAAATAAATGTAAGCAGTTTATGCATCAATAGGTTTATGCTCTCTTATTTTGAGAAGCAGACAGTTTAGGGAGCTTCTGAATAAAATGGGGTTTTGGTTTTGCTACAGGGTCTGTTTCTAAGATTGATGTTATTTCTGCTGAGACTGGTATTATATAGGGTTTTCACATGTGTGGGTGGCTTGGTTCTTTTCAAAGAAAGTTGACAACACGAACTGACCTATTTTGTTTGCTGTCCAATTAATGGATAATTATCCTGGTCTTTGGTTTGCAGAGCTTTCTGATAATTATAATTATACTTCATGTTTTTCTTTAAATATAAATTAAATTGTTCCCAACTAAGCATTTTAATTAGCTTTATAATCTTGGAAGCATAATGACTTCATAGTCTATCACTCACTAAACCTTCTTCTGTTTTCTCCTCTCAAACTGAAGAAACATTATTTGCTACTAGGATAATACGATCGACAATAAATGAACCAGCTTCTAAAAAGGTCAACACTATGATTATGTCTGGCCAGTCAGTTATTAATGCCCTTGGACATCAGATTACAGAAAGTGATTCTTGTGTGCAGTCTCAAACTGTAAGTGTAATATTTAAAAGTTATTACTGCTGAAAACTAGAACTATAAGAATTTGCATACTAGTTTTGTTTAAGATTTTTGTAACACCTTTTATAACAGGATCAATAAATGCTAAGAAATTGCAGGAAAGGTTGCTTTAATCAGATGTTGATATTCTTCTAAAAGATATCACAAGTCATATTGCCACTTTTGGCTCTGAGATCAGCCTGTTTGGTAGTTTTATGTCAATTCTATTGTGAAAATTCTATATATCCAATGAGTATATATCTCATACTCCAATGAGTATGAGAAGCTAGACTTAGAGCTACAACAAAAAATATTTTTAAAATATTAGCAAAAATTATTTAAAGTGCATTTATTTTCTGTTAAATGACTAAAAGGGCATTGCGGGGTTTATGGTTGCTGCTGGGTGATTTCATATTAACTTTGTTTAGTTTACAAGTAAAATAAAAAAAAAAAAAAAACTTCCAGTGCTGCAGTTTTGCCTGGGTTCTGAAATTTAAGTTGTTTCCTCCTGGTTGGAAGTAACTGCCAGTTCACGTGATTGCACATATCCATTCCTCATCAAGTGTGGGCACAAGCCAGTGCACTGGAGAGAGAGAGGAAGGTGTTTCACTAGCAATACCCCTTGGGGCTGCTTGTGTACCTTGCATCTATTTGTATTCCCAGCCAAGAGTTATATAGTGTGGAGACACTTGGAGGCCCCTTCAATTCCTTCGTACTGCTTGTGTTCTGGGACTTGAACTCAGCATTAGCTCTAATGACCCACTCTTGTGAGTCACTGATTGCATGCTCTTGCTTTCATCACTTTGTCAGAATGACTTTCCTTATGGCTACCATGTCACCCAGGAGAATGGGGATTGCAGGCCCTCGCAGTAGGGTCTCTTGTACTTTAAAATAAATAAATAAATAAAATCTCTATTGGGCCACAACACAAAATTTTAAAGATGGTAGTGGACTTTCAACTCAAACAATTAACTTACCAGTTTTCTTCACTAAGCCACACAGTTAGAAGATGATTGGAGGCTCCACATTTTAGGCATGCATAGAGCTCTTGCTTGCTGCTTAGACAGTATTGTGCATCCCCTCAGCAGTCTCCTTTGCAGACAGAATTAAGGAACTGGCAGTTTCTCTCAAAGAATTTCAAATTAGATCATATCATGCATATCAGTGTGTTCAGAAGACAGCTGAGACCCTTACTCCTTCAAAGATTACTGCATATTCTTCAAGAGTTCAAGTGACATCAATATCATTTTGGGAAAATACCCCTATTTCTGACACATGGATGTTCTTTTACCAGCTATTACAGTATTGCTGCAGCTTCTAGGGAAAGCTTGATACCAGCTTTGGAAAGGCAGTTCTACAGTTCCTTTTCAGATAGACAATGGGTCATCGCTCTATTTCAAACTGCTTAGGACTCAACTGATATAGAAAAGATCAGGAGCATATGCATGCACAGGCACTACCTCAGTGGATACCAGTAGGAGAAAAAAATCCCTGGCTTCACTACACTTGGCTCACATGGAATGGGCATGTGCAATCACTTGGTCTTGGTCTACACTAGGGTGTCATTTCAAAATAACAGGTTGGTTATTTCAAAATAATAACTCCAGCTTGTCATAAGGAATAAACACTTCTTTCTAAATTGTTATTTTGGGAGTTATTTTGAAATAACTTATTTGCCCTTGAAGAGCAACAGTTATAAAAAAAAAAGAGTTAGTTACTCGTTCTATATCTCATTCTACTGAAATATATTTAAAAAAAACCCTCATTATCCCATCATTTGTTCATATTCATCTCCTGTTGAAGTTTTTGGGCACTGTATGTATGCATACCTCACAAGAAAATCTACTGCTACTATAATGCAAAAGCACCTTAATAACATTGTTCACTTTGAAATGATGGGATTTAGCAATTCTGAAGAATGAGTTAGACTAGAATCCAATTGATTCACTCTTAGCAGGATTAGGTCTACAGTGCTAAGGAGGGCAAAAGTAGTTAGTTATTTTTATCTATAAATTAAGATGATAGGATTTGGCACACATAAAAGTAAAAGTGCTTTGAAATTGGTTCCATTTTTTGCCAGAACCATAGTAATAAATATTTTAAATTGTATTTTAACATGACATTCTTAGAGAACCAAAAACCTAAACACAGTAATTTTATCACTTTTATTGCATATTAGGACACAAGTAAAAAGATCCTTCCCAGTAGTTTTCTCCTCCACCCTCATAGCTGCAGGAATGGGACATTTGACCTTGTTTAACTGTATTAACACTCATGTTTAGCTCTTTTATATCTTCAGGGTGCTCAGTGAAATACTACATGTTACCGTGAACTATAATTCAGCTTAAATCTTGAATTCATCTATTTGAAATTAAATGAAAGTGAATGATCAATTATCTAAATGTGGTGTTTCCTGGTTATTCTTTTCACCAGGATTCCTCACTTTCCCCTGTCAGAAATAGTGAGAGAGAGCTTTATTTGCTTAAACAAGTCATGGAAGCAGAAGAAAAGTTGAAAGTAGCACATGATTCAGTTCAGCAGCTAAAAGACACATTTTCACAGAAAGAGAAGGAAATGGAGAATAAGATGATTGAAATGAAAATGCAACATGATAAAGAGCTTTTTCAGTTGAGTCAAGAAAACTATGTACTTCAGACCAAGGTATTGCACTTTATCTTCCACCATCAACAAAGAGAAAGTTTTGTTTAAACTTGCATCTGAAAGCATCACTCAGTATTTCTTAGTTTAGTCATTACTACTCTGTACCAGTCAATGAAAAATAAAGGGTGAGGATTATGAAAGATGCCCTCATACTGTCGCTGTTCCATCTGAAACCAATCATAAGTAAACTGAGTTATGCTGCTACCTCACTCCCTGCTTTGCTGCTTAGGGTTTATCTGTCTAATTCCTCTCTGGGTACATGTACTCTGCATGTTTCTTTTGACAGAGTACATATCGTACATATCTGCATAGTTCCTAGTATCAAGGTCAGCACACCCACCTCTCACAAGCACTTCCCTTTTGTTTGGTGTGTCTGAGTTCTTTACAACAATCTAGCCCTGGGCCTGGGACTATATCCCAGGGATTTCTCCTTGAAGACATTATCTTCTTGTGGCCCTTCCTGGACTTAGTCACTTCTCTGTCCCAGCAGCCAACCAGGAGCAACTTTATTGCTCCCTCAGGCCTTGTTAGCAAACTCTTTGGCTTAGTCCTAGCAGCCAGCTAGGAACATCTCTTGCTCCCCCATGGTACCTGTTTTTGGCTCAGTCCTAGCAGCCTCTCACTCTCCCAGTCCCTGCCAGTAGACTTAGCTGTCTGTAGTCCTATTGCTCTTCCACCCATACATGCAAACCTTTTTTCTCCATTGCCAAGCAACAACTAACTGCTTTGCTGTTCTGCAGCTCCTTTTTTATGGTCCTCGTGGCCCCTGATTGGCTGTTTCACAAACTCCTCTACATGGTTGCTTCCTTGCAACCACTCTAAACCACATGGAGGACCCCACCACTGCTACTTTCATTCAGTGTGGCAGAATCCATCACGTTCCCCTAGCATGAATATAAATAGCAAGGTGGCTGATGAGGCATGGCTTAGACAAAGACATCTGAAGAATGTGTGTCTGTATCTGAGTATATACTCTTCCCCCTCTTTTGGCCTGAGCAGTGTCTGCCTATCTACGCTTATTTTTGGAGGTCTAGTTTCCCATTGTCTCCTTCCTGCTGGAGCTTTTCAGCTCTTCAGGAAAAGACTTGCCCAGCCAGGAAGAACTCTGCCAGTGGAGATACTGTGGGTAAAGACTGTGCCAGCTGTCTGCTGCTGGAATCCTTTTCTGCACAAGGAAAAGCTCTGACAGCAGAGGCAGCTGGGAAAAGCTCAGAGTCTTTCCTTGTCTCAGAAAAAGACTGGCAATGGGGAAAGGCTACTGTGGGGGAAAGGAGTGGGGAAAAAGCACAGCCTCTACTCCTCCGTTTCTTCCCCTCCATCAGTTACATCTCGCTGCACTTACAGGCCCTGGCAGCAGGAAGCTGCTGAAGCCTCTCTCTGCTATCTCGCCTCTGCAGAACATGTCACTGATATGAATAGCTACATGCTGCAATATGCTTTTAACTACAGCATGTAGCCATATATATTCTATATGCCACCACCAGTGTATACATAGATTATACAATGAGGAGTCCTGTGGCGCCTTATAGAATAACATTTATTTGGGCATAAGCTTCATTTGAAGTGTTTTTTACTCACGAAAGCTTATGCCCAAATTAATCAGTTAAACTATAAGGTGCCACAGGACTTCTCATTGTTTTTTCAGATATAGACTAACACAGCTACCCCTCTGAGACTTTACATAATCTATGTTACATTTTTAAGAGCAGCATGTTAGCCAGCATTAAACCCTTCCAATGATAAATCCTTACACTATAACTAAACTAATGCTTAATATAATGTGAGTTCATGGTAAAATAAAAGCAGAAATATATTTGCTTTCTACAAAACTACACTTAACACTTGGCTCTCAAGGAAAGTTACCACCAGAACTTTACCAGTTCACATATACTGCTATAATTATATAGTGTGAACGCTCTTACTCAGTCTAGAATAAGAGTGTCCACGTAGGGAGTTATGCTGTATAGTTGTGTAGTTTTGCTGGTAAGTTTCTCTATGTGTAGACAAAGCCTTAAACTGGTCAGGACCTGTTGCACATGTTACTACAGCTTTGCAGATGCTTTACTTTTTCGGATAATGCTTCCATGTAGACCCAAATATTTTTGAAAGCTCAGAATACTCTCTTTTTTCATGTATTTTATATAAAAAGGACAATAGATGCCATTGTCCTTTTTATATAAAATACAGAGTTCTCTGGAGAAAGCTTTGCACTAACAGTTTTATTGACATTTTGTGTGCTTTGTATATTTTGAAAGGTAAATAGTATGGAAGAGCTGAGCAAAGAAAAGAAATGGCTTCACCTTGAGACAACAGATGCTGTAAGTGAAGAAAAGTTAAAGCAAATCCAAAAGGAAATTCAAGAACAAGAGAACCTTCTTCAGGGTTATCAACAGGTAAAGTAATATTTTAATGTGATAGTATAGACTCTGGTTAGCTATAAAAACAAAGATCAGATAAACTTATTTTTTGTTTTTTGTAACATTAGGGTGGGATTTTCTGAAGTACCTAAAGAAGTTATGCTCCCACCTGCCATGGTCATTGTATCCACAGTTGAAGTGAAGTGCTCCTGCACTCTTCCACATACACATGTGTTTAACTTAAAAACACTTACTTGAATTGTTACCAAATAAAACTTTCTGGAGTTTCCTTTACTCCTTCAAAGTTTCAAAAGCTGTCTTCCTTGCCCTTTTGTAAATGGAAAGGCTATGAATGATCTAACTGACTCTTCTGAGAATGGAAGATAACTTTTTCTAAAAAGCAGTAGAGGTTTAGGTCCGAAGGGCATGAATAAATTACACACATTTCAAAAAAGCTTATACCTTTCTTATTGGAGTAAGTTCTTCCCAAGTTAAATAATGTTCTCCTGCATTAAAAGAATATGACCTGTGAACTGAAAACTTTAATGGATAAAATACAGTTTGGCCAATAAAGTTTCAGAAAATCTTTCCCCAAAACGTGGATAGATAGTTTTTTTTCCAAGAAAAACTTTTCATTCAGATAAGGTTGGCTCTGCTAGCATGCATCTGCATCATCTCTTCATCATCTTCTCAGACATTCAACATTTTTTTTTTGACTGCACTAATAAAAAAGTATGATCAGGGATTATGACTCAATGGTTAAAATTAATCATAATGAATAGCATAATTAATTATGCTGTTAATAAAATCCCATTTTAAAAAATATTTTGGATATTTTCTACATTTTCAAATATACTGATTTCAATTATGACACAGAATATAAATTGTACAGTGCTCACTTTATACTTTTTACAAATATTTGCACTATAAAACCAAAAGAAATAGTATTTTTCAGTTCACCTCATACAAGTACTATAAAGTTGAACATGCAAATATAGATTTATATACCAGAAAAAAGCAATGTAAAACTTTAGAGCCTACAAATGTACTCAGTCCTACTTTTTGTTCGGACAATCATTCAAACTAGTGTGTTTAGTTTTGCAGGAGATAATGCTGCCTGCTTCTTGTTCACAGTGTCACCTGAAAGTGAGAAGAGGTATTCACATGGCACTGTTGTAGCTGGCATTGCAAGATATTTTCATTCTGAAGGATGTTAAGTATCGTGTAATGACTAATCAAATAGTCTGCATTTTTGCATTGACTATTTGATTAGTCTATAGATTGGCGCTGCCCCTTGCAGTGTTTCAAAGCGGCAGCACCTCATGGAGTCCCCAGATGATCCTGGGCTCTATGCAGTGCGGCCCCTTTGAAATGCCTCCCTTCCTCCTCCCCCGCTGCCTGATAGAGGCAGAAAGGCAGCAATGTGGCGGAAGGGTGGGGAAGTGACTAGTCCTTAACATCTCTATTCTGGATGTGCTAAAGATTCATATTCCCTTCATACTTCAACCACTATTACATATGTCCATGCTGATGATGGGATCTGCTTGATAACAATCCAAAGCAGAGCAGACCGACACACATTCATTTTCATTATCTGAGTCAGATGCTACTTATCAGAAGGTTTTATTTGAATTTGCTTCTTATTAATCTTATAAGAATGCTCAGTACTATCTAACTTAAATGTATTTTAAATTTAGGTTAGAATCTGTATTTGATATTCAGATGTGATCAAAAAACAAATTGTTATAAATATCAAGGTCTTAGGCAAATATTTATGTTGGATATGTGTATTTAGTGATTACAATTATGAAACCTATTATTATTATTATTAATAATAATTTGTATAAATTACCGTCCTTTATACTTAGAATAGAGACTAAGAGTAAAGTAATAGAGTATTTGCTTTATGAAATCTTAGTATTAAGAATGTGGTGGGAATAAAGTACTCATGTAAATTACAATCAAAATGTTGTTGATGCAGATCAAATTATAGTAAACAAATGTGGGATAAGTTTTTGTCTTTTTTGTCGTAGGAAAATGAAAGGTTATACAAGCAAATGAAAGCATTACAGTTACAAAACAAGAAAAACGAAGAAAGGATGTTTAAGGAAAATCAACATTTGACATCTGAATTAGTATCCTTAAGGTGAGTGTGTTTAAATTTCTAACTTGATATGTAAAGTCAGAGTTAATTAGAGGGCTTATGTGTTAGTCTACATTAGTGGGTATAATATTATCTGCACTAGTATTTTGTGCACTAGCTGACCCATGTGGACCTTGCTGGTGTGCACTTAAAGTTCCCTACTGTGCTTTACCATAATACTGTCTGAAACGGGACTACATAAACATGCACTAGAGAAATTGTAGTGCACACCAGCTTCTGCACAGGCCAGTTAGTCTACACAAATCTGTCATGTACTAACTCACCATGTCTATAATCCTTCAGTAAATAGAACCATAAAAACAGAATTATCAAGTCTGTTGGATAGTCTGTTGTTCAATTTGTTTTATCATAGATGATGATAGGCGACTGGTGAGATCCTATTCCTTTGAAATTGGGAGGGATGGAAGAAGTGTCCAGATTTGGTTCTTAGTCTTCCCTTTTCCCTTGAAGACCTACTGAAATAAATAGGACTTGTAGCTTAGACAGTTGTATTCTAAATCTCAAGATTCAAAGTTGGTTCATACACAGAATGGGCAACAGAATTAAATGAAAGCATGGGCCAGGGCATGCCTTTTGGTATTGTAATTTTATTTGCCTCGTTAAAATGTGTTCCATCTCATAAGATGTCATTTACCCAGCAGCTCAGGTCACAGAAGGCCCCAGTACAGAGGAATCACCATGCTGAGGGATGAGTGACTGAGCAGTGTAATCTCTCTCTCTGTAAAACTGGGATCTGTATCATAGCAGCATAGAGGGTCAGCAATCATGAAAATGCTTATTTACAAATCTTTGCACAAGAGTACATGGGGAGTAGATTCTGTCCCCAGATTACATGGAGTTTTCCTACGCAAAGCTGACTTATTTGGAGTTTATGGGTCTGTCTATAGTGGCAAAAAACAAACAAACAATCAAACCATATATCACTCAGTCTCGAAACTGTGGTCCACAGACTTGAGTTCATGTTGCAGTGCTACAGATAGCTATATAGATATTTCTGCTTCTGATGGAGCTCAGGCTCTGAAACCAGGGAGGAGGGTCTCAAAGGGGTAGACTTCAGAACCTGAGCTCCAACCCAGGTGGGAAGAGCTGCATGTTTTTATTTAGTATGAGCCCAAGTCTATAGACCCAGGGTATGTCTACAGTACAGCGTTATTTCGAAATAACGTGTCTACACACAAAATGCATTTTAAAATAGCATTTTGCTATTTTGAAATAGCACGTCCACACTGAGTGGACACTGAATCGCATTTAAGACCGGCCGAAACCAGGTCCGACGGCATCAGGTCAGGAGTTACTTTGTGTGGCTGCTGTGTGAGGCTATCTGAGGCCTCTGTTTAAAGGGGCCGCTCCTCCCCCCACCCCCCAACAGCCTTTTCCTGCTAGCTTGCCTACTTGAATGAGGGACAGCAAAGCATTTTGTCTCTGCGTGCTCTGGTTGCCCTCACTCGGGATATCACAGCACTCTGCAACATGGAGCCGGAGCCTCCCCTGGGCACTCTGATGCTTCTTGTGGACACGTTGCTACGAGCCTGGCTGTACTTTCTACAGGCTGCCATTTGGGAGGCCCATCAGGGGGCTGTCAGTATCCAGGAGGCCCTGCAGGAGAGCTTCCACCCTGAGGAGCACTAAGAGCCTTCCTGGTCTGCCCCACTGGGGGCTTGTGCCTCGTTCCTCCCTCACGTCTTTCCACTTACTCCTCCCTAACCCCCCTTCCTGATGTCGAGTAAAATACATGTATTTTCATGAACACGAACTCTCTTTATTTAACAAAACTGGGGGGGGGGAGAGGGAATGAAACTCTGGTGAGACTGGGGAAAGGAGGCGGGAGAGGGGAGAAGAGAACATGGAAGAGGGGCTGGGTAAACCTGGGAGGAGGGAGCTGGAAGGGGGGAAGCAAGGGGAAGAAGGGGGAGGGGATGCTCAGGGCTCAGGTTTGGGGGTCTCACCCGACCAACTTGATTTTCATGAAAACTTGCTCCTGAGTTCGCATGTGGCCTTTAGTGGCCAGGCTGGCAGCTATCCTGCCATAGACAGCCA